TTTGGTAAAAACCATTTCCACTAAAGCTTCCTCTTCTGATGCCTCATTGTAGCATGTAACTGGACTCTAGCTCTTCAAGATTGTGCCAGTGTGGCATAAGAGTAGAGGCTGGGAGATGGACTGACATCTAAATGCCCACCCACTTAAGGGCAGAGAGGTTGATCACTGGAGTGCTGGACCTGAGGGCAAGAAGACCTTAGTTCAAATCCAACATGACAGTCACGAGCTGTGACCCTGGGCAAGTCATTTAACTGCTGCCTGCCTCAGTTTCTTCATCTGTAAAATGGGCATAATGGGGATACTAGCACCCACCTCACAGGATACATGAGATAACGTTTGTAAAGCATTTAGCACTGTGCCTGGTACATAGTGGATGTTTAATACATGCTTTTTTCTCTTCCTTCCTTCCTTTCTTTTTCTCTTTGTTTCTTCGTTAATCTTAAATCTGTCCTTAAATCTTACCTTAAATCATCTTGAATCATACCTTCAATCTGTCCCTTCTCCAATCTGTCTTCACACAGATGCCAAAGACATCACTGATGCCACTTTCCTAGAGTGCAGCTCTGATCACATTAACTCCCTATTCAATAACCTCCAGTGGCTCCTCCTTACTTCTAGAAACAAATACAATTCCTCTCTCAGTCATTTAAAGCTCTTTACAAATTAGCCCCTTCCCATGTTGGCAGTTTTCTTACATACTGCTCCCCTCTACAGACCTGAAGGTCTCACTAGACTGGCCTACCTTGTATTCATTACACATGACATCATTCCCCTCCATGTCTTTGCAATGGGTGTTCTAATCCTGGAATGCTCTCCCGCCTAACCTTGACTTCTTAGAGTCTCTGGTCTCCTTCAAGATTCATCTTAGATGCCACCTTCAGTAGGAGGCCTTTCCTGGTCTCCCCCTGCCCCTAGCTGTTACTGTCTTCCCTTTTAATATATTCTTTCCTTCTGTATATTCTGTATGTTTCTCGTAGATGCTTATTCAAGTATATATTGAAGGAGAACATCAACCGTGCAGGAATGAAAGACACTTGATGCATACAATCTGTACAGAATGAAAACATCACACTGATTAAAATCAGACTCCCAGATAAGGGGGAGCTCTTAAACAGGACTTCTTACAAGAGTAAATGTTAGGCAATAGCTTGGTAATCTGAGGTAGAACTGAGAAGAGAGCATTCCACAATTCTGCTACCACCAGTAGAGCTGTTGGGGTTTACTGCTATTCATTCCCTATGCTTAGCAATACTCACCACTTCTTCCTTTCCAGTCCCAGTAATACTGAATTCCCAGTGGCCTAAGACTGAACCATTCCTCTCTGCAGCCCTCATTTCCTGTTCTCTTATCCCCATCTACTTTAACCCTGTGGATTTCATGCACCATTCCAGCTATCATGTCTTCTCGAATTCCCATTCCATCACCAATATATTTCCCTTCATTTTTTACTTCTAATGTTTCTTCCATCTTCCTCTCTTTTTCTCTAATGTTCAAATCCCTCCCTCCCTCCCTCTCTTTCTCCCTCCCTCCTTCTCTCTCTCTCTCTTTCTCTCTCTCTTCCCCAGTTCTTCATCTTAAAAACAGACAAACCTCACTTGATGCTACCATCTACCCTTACATTATCTTACTCTATGGTTCTCCTCTCTTTCACAGGCAAACCCTTACAAAAAGCTGTCTACATTCGTCACCTTCCTTTTCTCAGTCCCTTCTTAGACCTCTGCAGTCCAGCTTCTGACCTCGTCACTAAACTGAAATGGCTCTTTACAAAGTTACCAATGATCTCCTAATTGCCAGATCTTTAGCCTTGACCTCTCTGGACTGCTGACCGCTCCTCTTCCTAAATACTCACTCCTCTTAAGACTTCATGATATTTCTCTCAAGGTTTTCTTCTCACCTGTCTCACTGCTCCTTCTCAGTCTTATCTGCAAATTCATCATCTTCCCCACATCTGTGCATACACTCCAAAACTCTCTTCTGGGACCTTATTCCTCTCTACACCCTTATCCCTGGTTATCTCATCAGCTCCCAAGAGTTTAATTATCATTATCTATGCAGATGATTCTCCTTGCTCTCAAGGCAACAGCAACAGTTTTCCCCTTAGGACTAACAGCACTTTTAAACTCTACATTTGCACCTGCATAGTAGAGTTTGCCTTGCATTAATATTATCTGAAGTGACAAAAAGTTCTCATTTGGAGTCATAGGTCCTGTACTGGACCTTAGCTCTGCTATTTAATACCTGTGTGACTTTGATTACCATTTTTAAAAGCAAAAGCATAATTTGTGATCTTTTCAGTTTCATTTCATTTGGAATTTTCTTTTTTTCATAATATCTTCGGAATCCAACCCTCAGTTCCTTGAAAATTTGCTTGCTTCTAGCAAGGCAATTTCTTGTATGTATTTAGTCCAGTCCACTTCTTCTTGCCAAGTCATCCTTTTAAGTATTATTGCCACATTCTCACAAAGTATTTTTGGTAGTAGTATTAATAGCAAAGGCTAATATTTATATTAACACTTCAAGCTTTTCAAAACATTTTGTGTATATTACCTCATTCAACTTTTACAACAACCCTGAGAGGTAGGTGCTATTATTATTCCTATTTTGCATATGAAGAACTGAAGCAGACAGAGGTTAAGTGACTTGCCCAGGGACACTATCTAGTAAGTGTCTGGGGATGGATTTGAACTCAGGTCTTCCTGACTTCAGGCCCAGTGCTTTGTCCTCTGTGCTGACTACCTGCCTTCTATGGTAATCAAGCCCAAATACACTAGTTCCATTATAACTGCTGATGAGAATATATATTATTGTCCTATTTTAACCTAAAAATATTCTAGGGATGATCTGACTTAGCTGGATTCTACACTAAATTCTCTGTGGCTTATTTTCTCTTTAAACTGCTTTTTACTATTTTGTGAGTTGATATTGTTAATAAAGGCAGTGAGGTTGTACAATGGATAGAGCACTGGCCTGGTGTCAAGAAAACTCAAATCTGGCCTCAGACACTTATGAGCTGTGTGACCCTGGGCAAGTCACTTAACCCAGCATGCCTCAATTTCCTCATCTGCAAAATGAGCTGGAAAAGTAAATGGCAAACCATTCCAGTATATCTGCCAAGAAACCCTCAAAATGGGGTCACAGAGAGTCAGACACAACTGAACAGTTGTGTTCAGTCTGTTAATACTGTTAATATTAATTAATGGTTATTAATAACTGTTAATAACTTGTGTTATTAATCTGTTAGTAACAGATTACTATTAATAATCTTGTGTCATTCTTTTGAAAGTGTCTCCCTACCCCCACGGATGGAAATCAGAAACACTCTTGTAACTTATAATCTTAGAAAGTTGCCTATAGATACTGGAGGGTATGACTTGATCCTGGTCACCCAGTTAGTATGGGTCAGAGGCAGGGCTTCGGTGCAGGTCCTCTTCTATAATGTATTGCTAATGTCACTGCTTTCTAAGCTAGCATTACTTGTGGCTGTCTTGTTTTCTGGAATGGAGGGTGAGTGTAGAGGATCTAGATCTGGTCCTGGCTCTTCATTTTAGAGAGTTTGGTGCCTTGCCCAAAGTTACTCAGATTCTCAGAACCAGAGACACTTTTTAAAGAGATCCAGTCTTTACCCAGAATGCAGAGTGTTCTGCCCCATGCTGTTCGCCCCTTGTGTTTACTCTCTGAAGCTGGGTCTGGCCTCTTTCAGCTGCCTGGTCGTGACAGGTCTTCATGGGCTAAGTTTTTACGGGAAGGTTTTTATGTATGAAAAATAATCCAACAGCTACTAACTCCAGCTTTGACCCCAGGTTTCTAACCCATCTAACATTTCTGACATAGAACCTGGGAATTATGAGAGAACAATTAAAAAAACAGAAAGCAGCAGTGGCCCTGTTCTGTTTATGCCTCATCTGAAGAAGGCACTGGGTTAAAAAAGGGACTAGGCTGCCTTTGCTGTCACAGTCATGAAAAAACAAGCAACTTTGGGCCCTGTTTCTCAGACTGTGGCTCAGAGAAGGCTTGGCTGTGGTTATAAAGGAGCAAGAAGACAATACCAAGTCGTTCTTGCTCCCCTGATATAAGGAGAAGGCTAAGACATAGACTGAGATACTAACAGTCTAGACTCCCTAAAGTTATTTGGTACATTGTGAGTCAATCACTGAATGCTGTCAAAATTGTCACTTCCAACACAGGAAACAGTGGGACCCAGCAGAAAAAGCAATGGATTCCAGGTGGAAAATCTGTGTTTGAGTCCTAGTTTTGTGACATACGAGCTGGGTGGCAGTGGTGAAATCATTTCACCTCTCTGAAACTCAGTCCCCTTACCTCCAGAACTGGGTGGCTGGACTAGATGACCTCAGAGGATCTTTCAGCTACAATATCCTAGGACACACTTTTTGTCAATTATCAGCTAACGGTGCCTATTTGTAATAGGGGCAGGTCATGAAAGGTTGGGGAGGAACAGGAAGAGCTAGAGAAGAGGCAGTGGGGGGAGCAGTCAGCTGTGCTCCCTGGCAGGGCTGCTCATCTCTCTCCTACTGACTTTGGCCAGGGTGCCTCCTACAGAGAATGGGGACCTGCAGGGAGTGGGCTGCTTTTGTATCCTAACCATTTCCAAAATCTGGTCTGTCTCTCTGTGGCTTCCTATCCCTGTTCCTCTGCTAGCTCTCTGACTCTAAGCAGCTTGCTCCTTCTCTAGCTTGATCATTCTGTGCCCCCTGCCTAGCCCCAAGTGGGTATAAAATACTGTGCACTGCTGCCTTGACCCATAAACACACTTGGTCCTGGGTATTTAGCAGAATGGAGAAAACCAAAGTCAAGGTGTCTCTGAATCAAATTAAGATCAAAATGCCCTTAAGCTAATCACATTTTAAGCTACATTGTGTATTTTAAGAAATACATATTTCAGCATTTCTGTTTTTCCTCTCTTCCTCTATGAATCTCTCTCATAAGGAGAAAAGAGTAATGAGAATAGAAGATTTGAATCAGTCACTGCGATCTATACTTACCTTTTTATTATTAGAACTAATTAGCAAAGCAGAATCACAATACATCAAAGCATTTTGTTTTTGTCCAAGATCTTTGTAGCACTGAAAGAAAAGAAATTGAATTAATGTCCTAAAAACACAAAATTTCAAAACTTTCTTAAAATTGTTTTTAGTTACCTTTGCCAAATATACATAGTTGTACTTGGAATATCCAGGTTTTAACTCTTCAGCCTAGTCAAAGAATCAAAGCAAAACAAAATAAAACAAGCAAAAAGGGATAAGGAGAAATTGAAAAATAAATGATGTGAATAAAATTCATCAATTTCAAATGGCAAAGTACAAATTTTACTATATCTTTCCTCAGTAAAGGCATATCTTTTTAAACAGATGCAATACCATACCATCTTTAGGAAGAAAATGTCATTTGTTTTTGTATCAGTGTACAAAAACTGTACTGGTTATTATCTTCACAGGAATTAATTATCATTGCAGGTATGGTTTCTGAAATTATACTTTTCTCTTGGAAATAAATATATTTACTTAAACTCAAAATGACTCAGATAACTGAATTTTAAAAATTCACTTTGCAAGTATGGGATTGAAGAGAAGTAACTCCGTAAGAGTTTCCACGAAAAATATATGAGGGTTTTAGTAAAATGCAAACTGAAAAAGGATCAAGAGTGTGATACAGCAGCCAAAACAAAACACAGAAGAACAAAAAAACAAAACCGGTGTGATTTTAGGTTGTATTAAGAAGACATAATATAAAAAAGAAGGGGGAGGGCGAGTGGTAGCAGAGATGTTAGAGATCTAGGGTGCTGTACAATGTCCTGGACACTATACCACAGGAAAGAAAACCACTGAGCCTGGAACAGGTCCAGAAGAAGGTGACAAGATGGTAAAAGGATTGTAGACCATGCTGAGGAGGATAAATTGAAGGAAATGTCTGTAGGGGTGGGGGCAGGGAGAGGCAGGGCATGGTAGCTTTCTGAACATTCTGCAGGGCTATCATGGGAAGCAGACTTGTTCTGACACTCTGTGGTTCTGATAAAGGAAAGAAATGGAATGCTAAAAATTATTGGCATCTTATGTTGGCCACATTTGACATGAATACCCCTGAGCTTTACAAAGTGGTGTTAAGGTCTCCCAAAAGTAGGGATTCACCCCCAAAAGAGGGAGTCCTAAGTTCCATGTTTTAGGTTGGGATGATATTGAGTTAGATCTTTTATGTCATCATCATCATCATCATCATCATCATCATCATCATCATCATCATCATCATCATCATCATCATCATCTCCTCCTCCCTCTCTCTCTCTTCTTCCTCCCTTCTCTACTTCTGCCTCTTTTCTTTCCCCTTCTCCTCTTTCTTCTTCTAGAACACATTAGAAAAATTTCACATTATAGCACAACTGACCTTTCCAGTCTTTTTACACATTACTACCCTCCTTTCACTCTATTTTCTAACCAAACTGGCCTTCTTACTATTCCACATATGTCCCTCCATCTTTCATCTCTTTTCCTATAGATGCCTTCATGCCTGGTGTCCACTCTCTTCTCACTTGACTTAAAGCCCCTTCCTTTCTTCAAGATTTAGCTCGAGTGTCACCTTACAGCAGGAAGCCTTTCCTGCTACTGCAGCTCCCTCCTCCCCAGTGACCTTAGTTTTGTTTTGAATATGTCATATATGTACATACTGGTTCCCTAACAGAATGCAAACTCCTGGTGTAACTAATGATTATATACATGTACAGGCAAAGAGCTTTTACTATGCAACTTCTAATATCAGAATAAACTTCAGTGCTGCAACCAGCTGCTCAAGAGTGCAAGGAACAAGAACCATTCCTTTCAAATGCCCATAATTTGGCAAAGCACTTTATATATAACACCTACAGATTATATCCCTTTTGTCTTTATATTTTCAGCACTTCCCACTAGAGACTGTGTGCTCAAGACCTGAGTCTCTCTTTCTATATAATTATTGTAATACTCTGAAGAGTATCTATCTATCCAAACCAAGGAATAATTTCCTTTAATAA